GGCTGTGCAGGATGAAGGGGCGGGAGACAGGAAGAAGGATGTCTAATTACTCCATATGCAAATTTTTCAACTAATTTCCAGCTCCATACCTCACTATGGCCAACCAATATGCCTAGTGTCTCAAGTTCCGAATTTCCAGCGGTCTATAGGGAAAAACCTACTTTTTCGCCTTGTCTGCAACTATAACGTCCTAGGTTTCAAGTTACTTTTACCTACAGAGTCAGTTGCCACCATACTATTTGCTTTAACATTTGTTGACATTTTTCACTTACTCTTATTCCCATTTATTTTTCCTTTGTTCTTAGGATTTATGCTTCTTTTTTTTATAGTACTGACATTTTAATATTATTTCCATTGGGAGCAGAAATAAACGCAATTTGCCATGTCTGACTGGAAGTCTTAACTGATATTCTATATACTGTAATGTGGAGGATTAGATGAGAAAAGCTGGGAGAACTGTTTAGGAAACTATTCACTGGATTTCTTGTCTCTGAATTCCTCTGAATTATGTAGCAGGCAGCATTCACCTCTCACTTTTCCATTACTAGTCATTCATTTGTTCTTAGACTCTGTAGTGAATCGTTTTCCTTCAGCTGGGGAAATTTCAGGAACCTTGGCTCAAATCTTTCCCTTGAGTTCTAGAGCCATGTATGTCTAATTGCCTTCAAGACCCCTTCCCTTGGAATTCCCAGAGGCAGATCAAAATGAGAATATTTCAGCCTGGCTCACCTCCATCCCATCCAGCTCCCAACCTCTTCTCTTGCTTTGTTTGCTGCCTCAGCAAATGGTACCACTATCCACCCATTTTCCAAAGACAGATAACTGGGATTCATCCATACCTCTTCTCCCGCTCACCACACTTCACCCCAAACCCAACATTCAACCAATCTCTAACTCCTCCTATCCATTTACTGCCACAGTGTTGCTCAACTCCTCCCTCTGTGCTCTTTGTCTACATTTCTAGCCTCCTCCATTCCTCACTTAGATTCCAGCAACAGCTTCCTCCTAGCTAGTGTCTCTGTCTTTATATATTTCCCACTCCAGTTGATTTTCCATGTTGAAGTCAGAGTGATCTTTCTAAAGCATAAGTTTGATTTTTTTATTTCCTTATTTGAAACTTGTAATGGATTTCCACTGTACTCAAAATAAAGTCCAAATTTCATGTCATGATCTGGTCCCCTTTCATCAAATGTCCAGCCTCACTTTTCAGCACTTTCCCTCACCTAACTTTACACTTCAGCCCTTCTTTTTTTTTTTTTTTTTTTTTTTAGGAAGATGAGCCCTGAGCTAACTACTGCCAATCCTCCTATTTTTGCTGAGGAAGACTGGGCCTGAGCTAACATCCATGCCCATCTTCCTCCATCCATGTACTTTATACATGGGATGCCTACCACAGAATGGCTTTTGCCAAGCACTGCCTTATCTGCACCCGGGACCCAAACCGGTGAACCCCGGGCCACTGAGGACCAGAATGTGCGCACTTAACTGCTGCGCCACCAGGCGGGCCCCAGCCCTTATTTTAGTTTCCTGAATGTGTCATGCTCCCTTTCACTGCTGGGATTTTAACATACATTTTTCTTCTCTTCCTGGAACAGCATCTTTCCTTCCCCTTTCCAGCATAATCTAGGGAGCAGTTGTTGAGTTAACTCTTATGTAATCTTCAAGACTACATTTAGAGGTCATATCCCTTGGGACAATTTCTCTGATGCTCCCTCATACAGGGGTAGCTATTTTTCCCATGTGTTTTCACCAACCCTCTGTTTATTCATTTTAGTATTTGTCACCTTGTATTGGGTCTCTCCCACTAGACTGTAAGTTCTTTGATGGTAGGAGTAAGTTCTTATTCACTGGTATCTCTGGTACCACAATTTTTAGCATTTATAGTAGGTCCTTATAAATATTTATTAAATAGATTGATGAAATAGTATAAGTACCTGGTTCAGTGGCATTCTCTTTGTTGTGGATCTTACTCTGATCATATACTCTGGTACTATTGACTTTTATTCTTCCTTTCTTTTTCTCCTTCCTTCCTTCTACCCATCCATCCATCTTTGTTTCATGTTCAAACTATGTTTTCTAGTTCTAATGAGTTGCTTCCCAGCCATGAGCCTCATTCTTTGGGTTTGCGTTCTTATCAAATCTCAGGACCTGGCTCTGTCTGCTTGCTGAGATTTCAGTTATACATTCATAATTCAGGAGTATTTATTAAGCATCTACTGTGTTAGGTATAGTACTCATTCAGAGATAAAGCAGTGAACAAGATTGGCTTAGTCTCCGCATTCATAGAGCAAAGATTCTAGTATGAGACTATTGGGGGCAGAGAGCAACTTCTTTAGTTTCACAGGCCCACAGATGGAGAGGAATTGTATCCCAGGAGCTGTACTTCATGGATTACACCCAGGACTATCATTCTCACCTGGACCTGATTTAAAGGAGATTTTGGCCTTTTAACTGATGTTACGTTAGGATGCTATAATAAGAAACTTGGGAAGGAGATGAGTATATTTTGCATGTGAGAGGGATATAAATTATTAGGGGCCAGAAGGCAGACTGTAGAGGATAGATTTTGAGATGGCCCCCATTATTCCCACCTCCTGGTGTTCTCACCTTTTTCTAATCCCCTCCACTTGACTGTGAATGGGACCTGTGACTTGCTTCTAGCCAATGGAATGTGGCAAAGGTGATGGAATGATACTCCTGTGATCATGTTATATTACATAAAACTCCATCTTGCTAGCAGACTTATTCTAGAGACTTTCTCCTTTGTTGGCTTTGAAGAAGTAAGGGACCATGTTAGGAGGCTCCTGTGATAAGGAACAGTCTCCGGTTGACAGCAAGAAGCCAAGGCCCTTCAGTCTTACAGTTGCAAGAAAATAAATTCTGCCAAGAGCCTAAGTGAGCTTGGAGGTGAAACCTTCTCTAGTGAAGCTTTCAGGTGTAACCTCAGTCCTGGGTGACATCCTTAATTGCAGCCTTGCAGAGGATGGAGCTCAGCTGCCTGGACTCCTGATTCACAGAAACTGTGAGATAACAAATGTTGTTTTAAGCTGATAAGTTTGTTCTACAGCAATAGAAAACTAATACGCAGAGACAGAAAAATAATACAGGGAGACAGATAATAAGCGGGTAAACAAATAGATAAACAGGTAGTTTGGATGGTGTTAAGACATATGAAGGAAATATATAGACTGATATTATAGAAAGAAAGTTGATACAGTGGCTACCTCGGATGGAACAATCAGGAAATGTTTCTCTTGAGGAGATGCTTTTTTGGCCAAAACCAAAAGAATGAGAGGGTAACAATCTTGGGGTAGATTGGAGTGTAGAAAAACATTTCAGCAGAGAGAATGTTTGATGCAAATGCTATGAGGTAGGAAACAACTTGACACATTGGAGGAACCAAAGGAGTCCACTGTGTAAGCAAGAGGGACAGAGTGGCCCCAGTGTATAGATTTTTGGACAAAGTAGTAAGGAATTTGCATTTCAATTGTAGTGCACTGGGGAGTCTTTGAAGGATTCTTAGCAGGAGAGGGACAAGATTTACCTACTAGTTACTCTGTGAGGAGTAGATTAGTGTTGGTGTCTTAGGATAGTGATGAAATGAAAGTGATATAGTCATTTAGGAGGCTATTTTAGATGAGAATTGATCATGACTTGGATAGAGGTGATAGAAGAGGAGATAAAGGTGTGGGAGTGAATGTCCCTCAAAGGTCAAGATAGAGCACAGGCTCCTCATCATACATATAAGACACTTCCTGGTCTGTCTCCTGATTACCTCTCCACCTTTAGCTCTCAACTCTTCCCCTTGTGAACTTCTGTCCCTTTTGCCAAGTTCTCAGTGTCAGCTCTCTCTGAAGCCAATGGGATATGACTGAACCTCCGTATTGTTTTCTATTGCATATGGTACCTTTCATTTCATACCTTTTTCTGTGCATCTCCCAAGCCCTTGGGTACCCCCTGTCCCTGTCTGTCCATTCTGATGCTTCCTGAGATGCAAGTTTGCTGAAATAACAAGAAAAGAAAAAGATTAAATAAACAAGGAAAAATAAAAATCATCTTGTGAAATGTTATTCTAGTAAAATTAGTATTTAAATCATTTTCTAGATTTATCAATTTTTCTGTTATTCTGACCCTTTCTTCTTGTGGTGAATTCTGAATACCCCTATTTATTATGTTAATAAGAAGCAAGAGAAAGTGGAACAGCACGTATGCTAAAACAAAAATGGGGGAAAGCCCTGTAATTGATCTCATTTACATTCCTAGAAAGAACATTTGCAATTTAACTTGGCCTCTGGAACATGAGAAATAAAAAGAATAAACAAGTCACTGATGTACATCTAAAGGGGCTATTTTGTTTCTCATTTTGTTCAACATATTTCAGGGTTTGTGAGGAATGGATATAAACTAACATGAGGTGAATATGCGTATACAACCATATCAGTTTTTATCTCAAATAGACAGTAATGTGGCCTCCATTGAATATAAGACAACATATATTTCTATCAGTATTTTTAACTCACTTAGTTTTACATGAAATAATACAAAAAGTTTCTCTATTTTTTTTTTTAATATTGAATTTCACAGATAGTGGTACTCAGCCATTGTGAGACAGTTAGCATGCTGTGACAATATGGGAATGTTTTCTCTTGTTAGAATGTTTCAGACTCTTAATCATAGTACTCAAAGTCCTTCCTACTGAGTCCAGCCTAGAACTGTCCAGCAGCTTGAGCCTCTATACCCATTCTTGCCTAAGGCCTGGAATCTAACAACACTGGATCACTTATAATCTATTCCCTCTTACCCATTATCCCTTAAGATGCTTACAATTCATCTCCTAATCTTGTTTAAAATGAAGATTATGGGGGCTGGCCTGGTGGTGTACTGGTTAAGTTTGTGCACTCGCTTTGGTGGCCTGGGTTTCGTGGGTTCACTTTCCAGGTACGGACCTACACTGCTCATTAAGCTACACTGTGGCAGTGACCCACATACAAAATAGAGGAAATTTGACACAGATGTTAGCTCAGAGACAATCTTCCTCACCAAAAAAAAAAAAAAAAAGCATTTTATGATTTAGTAGATCCAGAGAAAAGCCAGACATTCTGCATTGCTAATAACCTCTCTGGTGATGCAGATGCTGCTGGTCTGTACCAGACATTTTCAGTAGCAAAATTGAGTAACTATTTTTTTTCTGACCATGTCATTCAACCTTGCAGATTCCTTCTACATGGAACCTTTACTGATGGCATGACGCCAACCCATTCTCATACCTGCAAGTCAAATCTTACCTCCTTATGTGAAGGATTTTTTTCTGTTAAGGGAGAGAATTCATAACTTCCTACTCTAATGGCTTTCCCTTACATTTAGGATAAAATGCAAAGTCCGTACCAGGCTTAGAAAGTCTACCTTTCCAACCCCTTTTCCTACGACTTTCCTCCTCACCCCACCACACTGATCTTGCACTATTGCAATATGCCAAACATTCCCTAGCGTTAGGGATTTTTTTAAAATTTGCTCTGCCCATCACATGTCCTCATGGCTTGGTCCCTCTTTTTCTTCAGGCCTTTGATCAAAGATCTCCTCAAACAGGTCATTGGATTGAATTGACCCCTACACAAAGCTACCTAGATGAGACTGAAATGAAGGCTGAAATCCAGCCTCTGCTTGGTTTACTAGACCAGATTAAGATTAATCTGGTAGCAGAGGGCAGGAGAAGTAGACAGAAGAATCACAAAACTCTTGCAGTAAAGCAAATATGAGAAAAGTAAGAAGCTAAACTGGGGCAATTGCCATGGAAATAGAAAGCCGTGCTGGTGCCTAAGAAAGGCTGTGCATGCATGGAGGAAGTTGTGCCTTTTAGTAAAGTGCTCAAAGGTATTAAATGGTCTAGCAACTGGCCAGGTCTCAGAGTGGTCTTCCTTGATCACCCAGTTTAAAATACCAACCTCCTCACTATTTCTATCCCCTTACTCTGCTTTAATTTTCTTAAAAAAAATGATGAATCAGACATTTTGTTATGTATCTTGATTTCTTTTTGTTGTTTCTATTTGAAACTCTGAATGTCAGCTCAGTGAAGGAAGAACCTTTTTCTTTGTTTACTGAAATATGCCTACAGCCTGGAACAGTATGTACGGTATAAAATAAGCATTCACATAAATATTAATTTAATTAATCAATGAATGAATACTCAGAGCCTCCATAAAACATACAATATGGAGCTATAAGACAGATATAGGTTCAGGTCCTAACTTAACTACTTAGGGAAGTTACTTATCTTCTCTGAAAATGTTTCTTCATCTGTAAATGGGAATAATAGTAATACTTGACTCACTGGAGGGTGGGGACAATGACATGGCATAATTAATGTAAAGTTCTTAATTTATTTCACACCTTATTGCAGTTGTTTACTTTTGTTTTTTCCCCTTGGCTATGAGCTCCATGAGATCTCTTCTTACAGTGCTTAGTGTATAATATGTAGTGAAGAAAACTTATTTTCAATAATTCATTCACAAATATTGTTCACTGAGTGACTACTCTGTGCCAGGTGCTCTGTTCTGATACTTGGGATACACAATAAAGAGTGTGTGGGACCTCATGAGCCTCACATAGCTTCTGTGCAATAAGGGAAACAGACATAAACAAATAATCAAGAAAGCAAAAACAAACAAGAAATCTTCTATAGCTTGTAATGTTACAAGAAAGAAAGAAACAAGGAACTGTCGTAGAATGACCATAAGGAAATAGTTCTTTAACATTTTGGAGGAGTGAAGATTATGGGTAATATTTGTATTTGTTTATTTTAAATATCTACTGATATCACACTGTATTTTATTAGCAATATCCTCTTTTTTGTCAATGAGACATAAAACAGGTATCAAGGGTATTTGCAATCATTTTTGACAAATTTCTCAGGTAGATGGCTCCTAGTCAGTGGAAGATCAGGTGATGTTTATAGAGTAGTCATTTCCAGCTCTACCCTTCCAGAGTGCCCAATGCTCTGACTTTCCCTGAGCTCCTATGGGAGAAGGGTGTGATGTGTGATATAGGGCTATCTCCAGGGTTCTGACAGCAAAGAGAAGCATGCTTGGTGGGTTTAACTAAGGAGAAGTTAATGAGCAGAACAATCACTGTGGTGTGGGTGGAGTTAAGTGAATGATCAAAGACTATTGAGATATCACAGACTAACTGCAGGGGAAACCATTACTGCCCATAGGCTGGAAGGTGCAAGAGGAAAGGATGTGTTGCTGGAGCCAGGAGAGATCTTGGAGCCAGAGAGGAGTGGCTGCTGTGATGGGAGCTAGACTATCAAATGCAGGGAGTAAAGTAGCAAAGCAGGAAGGAGAGGGGCAGAAATGCCTAATCAGTCTTTCTTCTTCTATGTTGCAATTTTCCTACTGGTAACTCTTTTAGCCAAACCTAAATGGAAGCTGGAGAGTAAAGAAACCTGGGTGACAGAGGCCATAAAACGCAACTTCCTCTGGCAGAGTGCAGGATGGTGAAGAGCAGGTAATGGATCTGGTGCTTGGAGTGGAGGACAATGGACACAAACTGTCCCACATGTTTTCTTCCCTGAAGCTGTCCCATGTTTTCCCATGAAGTCTACCTTAACGGGTCTGAATCATCTCTTTTGATCATCAACCCAAGTCTGAAATACTCCTTGAAACCGGAAGGCACAAGGATGAACCCTCTTAGCCATCCCAATGATTACCTAAGGGATATTTTTTTCTTTATTGGCAGATTTTTGTAGGCATGAGAAGGACATACATGGAGCATAATCAGAAAACTTTGAGAGCTGTTGGTAGGGAACAACTCTAGTGGATATTAATGAAAAATGGGAATGGCAAGATTCTGGGATGGAGAGTTGCAAAACCTTTGGATATATTAGATGATAAGATTGTGTTCTATTTATAGAATGGTAAATTTCCAGTAGGTGAATGGTGAACTTCTAATCCTTCTCCTTTCTTACTGGTATCTACAGTCATTATTTACATCATTACTTCTTTCCTTTCTTCACTCTCATTGCTCACCTTACCATTTCCTTTAGTGGTCACATGTGTCAAATCATTCTTAAACCTTTCTCTTTTATTTTTCTCTATGTTCTTTTAGGGAGAACTATCTTCCCTAATTCTCTTTGTTGACTGATATGAAAATATATTGTTTGAAAAACCTATGCAATAAACAATCTCTGTCATTAAGTCATGGTGCCACTCTTTATATGCGATCTAACCAATTTTTACCCTTCTTTCTTCTCCAGACCAAATGAGTTCAAAGTTACTGAAGTGATCTGGAAGATAAAAGAGGCGGTTTGGGTAAATGTTCCAAAAGGAAAACGAATTAACTTGTTATTCTTTGAGATGTGTTGAATCACTTCCACCAATAAAATAAACACACAATTTAAAAACCAGTCATGGCAATTTTTTTCTTAAATATTATACCACTTTAATATAACAAAAATAAATTTAGATTTATTTACTATTCAGGAGTAATATTGTGAACAAAAATATCACAATTATTAGTTCTATTTTTAGCCATATGGCTTCTCCCTTTATTTGTATTCTCATTTTAGAACATACATTATATGTGTATTAATTTATGCATTCACTAGTTAAGCCTGTCTTCATTGCCTTATGTATTCATTGAGTTGTGCTGTTGACTATTTGCTTAGTTTATTTGTAAAAAATGAAGTGTTCAAAACACTTACTACACTACCCTTTATAACAATTGAAAGAGTTACTATTTTAGAGTGGCATATCAGCCCTGTTTTTCTCTCAGCATTTAATGAGAGGCAGTAACTTGAATCACTTCCATCAGCCTGAAGCCTGAATTTCCAAATGCTGCATTATAACTGTTCATTGGATTCCTGTTTCATTCTAGTAGAGATGTTCTTCTAATGGATTTTGCCTGCAGCTTGTGGTATTCACTGAGCAATGGCAGAAATCAATTAAATTATCTTTTTTTCCCAATAAAAATGGATGATTTCACAAAAGTGCAAATTTTTAAAGGGAAATATTAAATATTAATGTATAATTTACCTTGAATTCACATTCAGTCTATTCTTAATAACCAGATCATTCTTCAGGAAGGGAGATGCAATGATTCCACTAGGTACAATAGACAAAATTTCATTTAGACCAATTCATTTTGTACAATTGAGAATTTTAATTGTTTGGCATGTTCAAAATTTTCCATTGCTTAAGGCCACAGTTAGAAAGAAGAGCATGAAATTCATTCTTTTTCCTTTTTCATCCCCAAAGAAGGCTATATTCTCGTGGTACATTATAGCGTAAGCAAGCAAGAATAAAAGGAATGAGTATGGAAAACGGTAGTCTCATAATGCTATAAGAATTCATTATTTGTAGCTTTTAAATATGATGTACTTTTCCATAGTAAATTATGATTATTGTGCTAGACTATACCTACCAAAAAAAAATCCAAAATATGGGAACAGTTTAGTTTAACATTTTCCTTTTTTTTTTTTTTTTTGGAAGATTAGCCCTGAACTAACTACTGCCAATCTTCCTCTTTTTGCTGAGGAAGACTGGCCCTGAGCTAACATCCATGCCCATCTTCCTCTACTTTATACGTGGGATGCCTACCACAGCATGGCTTTTGCCAAGCAGTGCCATGTCTGCACCTGGGATCTGAACTGGCACACCCCAGGCCGCTGACAAGTGGAACGTGCGAACTTAACCGCTGTGCCACCAGGCTGGTCCTAGTTTAACATTTTCTGAGTCCTCCTGTTGAATCATAAGCATATGAGCCTCATTAGAAAAAAATGCTGAAGAATTTTTGTGTTATAACTTTTGATTCAAATGAAATTATGTTTGCTTCATTTGTCAAATCTATTTAAACTAAAGTAATTTTTTCACTTTGTTGATTTTGATAGGCTAACATTGGAGAATCAGCATCACAGGATTAAATTCTTCACGTATGATTCAGTAACAGCATATAAAACAGGATACTTCCTACCTATTGTCCAAGTCATACTCCTAATGCATTTTTTAATATAAATCATTTGACTGCCTCTTAGTGTGTCCTACTTCAGCCCCTTTTGCATGTTTTTATTAAATACCACTTTCATTGTCATTTCTGCTCTTCAGAACCATTCATTTACTCATTCAAGCAAGAAACATCTATTAAGTGCCGGCTGTGTGCTAGACATTAAGAGGAATGCTGAGGATCCAAAAACACATATAACACATTTCCTGTTTTTCTGTGCTTGCAGGAAGCAGGTAGAGGGACACAAATAGGTGAGAAATCAGTAGATTAATAAGACAAATGCTATACTCTCCTAGCTAAACCCTATGGGAGAAAAGAGAAGAATGTGGTTGACTTTTCCTAGAGAAGGTATTCTAGAGGACAAAGCATTTCAGCTGAAATTTGAGGGATACATGAGAACTGCATTGAAGTCAAGCAGAATGAGCTTTATAACAGTAGAGGGAGGAAAATGTTAAAAAGCATCAAAAAGAAAATGTATTTTGTTAATTTTAAAATTCTTCACTTAGTTTTTACAGCCCTCAGCAAACTGTTAAAAATTTTTGGAACATTTTTGGTACAGTTAAGTATCTCCTTCCACTTTCCAACACTCCACTTTTGCTCAGATAAGTACTCTTCATTGTGCCCTACATTTGCCACTTCTTATTTTCAGGCTTCACGTACTTGTTTAAGCAAAGCTGCCTTTAACCTACCATCTAATCAAACTTCTTCCTCAGGATAAGCTGGGGACTCACTTTTCCTTTGAAGCCTTCCATACAGAATTGTACCTTCACAGAGCTTCTCTATTTGGGTTCACATTTGCACTCAAGGCAATCACCTCTTAAATTAGCACATAACTAATATTTCTAGTTTTATTTGCAATCATTATTTTTTCTGAATAACTTGGGGAGCACCATAGTTTTGATCTGAATCCTGGGGATTATTCTTTTTAATACATGGCCTTGGGTAAATATTTCCCTTCCTTGTAAAATGGGGATTATAAAACATATCTTGAAGGGTTTTTATGAAGATAAAATTAAAAAGGTATATGTTGAAAAAGTAGTTGGCCATGCAGAGTTGGAATCACCTAGAAACCATGGGAAATACAGGTGGATAATCTTTATATATATAAATAAATCTATACGAAAATGGGTAGAAAGGTGATCAAAATAAGACATTCCAAGACAATACAGTGAAACAATAGATATTCTTTTTATAGAATATGTTGACTATTTCAGTGACATAGGGAACATAGAGGGGATATAGGTGAAGAATTAATTCAGAGAATTTCTAGCAGCTTAGCAATTACAGGTAAAAGACTTGTGCAAAGTGAGATAGGCTGTATGCTCTAGCACCAGAGTATTTTCTTTGTGTCAGGCCTGGGTATAACCTCTCCAGTGTATACATCATCCAATCCTTACAATGATCCTATCTTATTATCACTACCACTTTATACCTAAGGTAACTGAGGCACAGAAAAGTTGAGTGACTTGCTCAAGGTCATGCATTTAGCATACAGTAGTACCAGGATCCAAACCAGAAGCTATTCTCTTAACTCTACAACATACCTACAACCACCCCTTGCAGACATAGTGTTCATTTAGGACAAGGTAGTTTTTGAGTATTAAGAATCTTGAAGGGTTTGGAAATTTGAATTCTACCTCATTAAAGTCCCATATTATGAGCCTCCCAGTATAGTGGGTATAATATTATTGCCAATCCAAATAGGCTCTGTGAAGCCTAGGATAAGCTGTATTCAAAGTCCAAGCACATTGAGGATGTTAAGGATAATGGAATGGGGTTCTAGTAAGAATGATATTAACATTAGTAGACCAGAGCCCTAGGAATTTCTGAACCCTGCTACCTCTTCTTCCAATAAAGTCCCTGTGGTAGACACATAAAAAAGGAGGGAAGGCCACACAAAAATAATACATATTAACTAGGATTTAGTCTTAAATTCCAGTGAAGACTTCCAGTGAGTGAGGCTTGAACACATGAAGAGTTCCATTTTCCTAAGTTTCATAGGCATTAATTCCTTAAAACCTAAGCAGTCTGGAATATCTACTCTGGTTCTTCCATCAGTGTCCAGCTTGAGATTGGAAACCAAACACTCTCCTGGGGTTCCAGCCTCATGTTGATGAAAATAATCCATAACCAATCTATAAATGAAAATTTAAGTGAGTTTATTCTGAGCTAAAATGTGAGGACCATGGCCCAGGACCTTTCTTCCTGAAGGAAGAAAGGGCTCCAAAGAAGTGGGGTGTACAGAGTGATTATACACCCCCAAACAGGATGTTTCACATATGATTGAAATGTCCTTTTTACAATAGTCCCGAGACTGCTCTGTCGGCACAGCGATTGATGGACACAGCAGGTAGGTCTGCTGTCTCAGTGGACACAGCACAGTGGCAGGTCTTTTGTCTCGTCTCAAGCTGGGTGGTCACAGGTGAGCTGGGTGGTCAAAGGTGAGCACAGCCATCAGTTCCTAGCCGAAGGAAAGATGTTTATCCTTAAGAAAATGCCAATGTGGGGGGAAGTTGCACCTTTATCTTAAGGCCATTTGTCCTTGCCATAGTAAATGTTTAAAGCAGATATACAATGCATGCTCAATGGCCATGTCAGGCCCTTTTGAAAAAACAAAGTCAGGCCGAATTAGGTCAACTTTCATGGTAAGGAAAGTTGACAAATAGAAATGGCAAGCAATAGGATATATTGGAGTATATGAGGAAGCCATTTGCTACTAGTAGGTGCTAAAATGACTATCTTTATTGATAATTAGATCACTAGTCATTAATAAATTATTAATGTCTGCATTGTGTCTACTCAGGCGAGCTGCATATAAAGTAGCCATCCTGCTCCTTTGTCTCATCTATCACATACAAGCAATCATTAAATTTTGCCTATTCTACCTCCTCAATATCCCTCACGTCTGTTCATTTCTTGACTTCACCAATGTCATAATATCTCATTTCACATACCTGTCATCTCTCATCTGTTTAACTGTGAAAACTTCTTAACTGGTTTCCCTGAATTTCATATTGCATACCTCCAATCCACTCTCTGCTTTTCATCTAGAATTCTATAAATACAGCAGTGTGTGTGTGTATAAATTCAAGTGTGTTCATATCATTGTCATTACCCACTAGATTAAGTCAAACTCCTAGCCTAGTACAGCAAGGCATAACATGGCCTGCTGACATCTCTGGCTTCATCACCACCAACCTCACCCATTGTAGCTATTGAGATCTAAGTGTGATCCAGGTTCACAGTTCTTTCACTACTGAAGAGATTCACATGCATCTCCTTGTGCCTAAAATACCCTGGCCTCATGGCTCCCACTTCTAATTTCTATTTATTCTTCAGGACTTGGTTTTGTAGTTATCTCTAAACATGGGTGAGAGTGAGATTCTCTTCCTTCAAGCTTTCATA